TGGGTAATTCTAAGGCTGGGGCAGGGAAACACATCATGAGTCTCATGAGTCTGGAGTATCTTATAGTGCCAGAAAGTAAGAAAGTGCTAGAGAGGGAGAGGGAGGGAGAGAGAGAGAGAGAGAGAGAGAGAGAGAGAGAGAGAGAGAGAATGGGAGTATGTCAAAGGGATACAGAAGCTAAATGAACAAACTCTAAATGATCAAATGTGAAACAATTTAAGGAACAAAACAAATAACATAATCTTGGACTATAACCCAAAGCATTAAATAAATATTAAAGAGTTCACACTGAGAAAAATAAATAATTGGATAAATAAGTGGGGGAGAAGGTACAAATATTCCTTATAGAAGAATTCCAAATATTACAGGTAGAGAATCTTCCATCCAGGAGGTGAAGCTTAATTCCTCCTCCCTGCTTCCTGAGTGTGAACTGGACTAAATGACTCACTTTAAACTATAGTTTGGAAAGGGGAAAATCAGCAACTTTCAATGCAGAATCCTAGCCAATAGCACCCTAACCAAGTGAAAAAAGCTAACATGGCTGGTGATAAATCATATTGAAGTGACGTAGCCCTCTTGATACAGTGAGAAAAAAACACTTCACCTCTCTGGACTTCATCTTCCAAACTCAGAGTACCAGTGTAACCATGAGAGAAACACCTAACAAATCCAAACTGAGAAACATTCTATAAAATACATGACCAGTTCTCTTCAAAACTGTCAAGGTCATGAAAAATGAAAGAATACTACAATAAAGAAAAATTCTACCAATGAAACTAGGACACAATATTTTCTTATCCTTTAGATTTTTCAGTTCACACATACTGAAAGATCTCTTTTACACTTATTTAGGCATGGATTTTTATCATTGCATCATTCTTATGTTATATACACAAAAGGAAACTTCATTAGATAAATTGTTTAAAGTACTGCTAGAATTTCTTTGGGTTCAAATTTTAACTCTTCTGAATCACTTTTGTACTCAGAATCATTTGGATATCATAATATTGTCTTCTGTGCTATTAAGCATGCTGGTGATGCAGTATTTATTAAAAGAATACACCTCTGATGTCTCCAGGGTTTTTCCCTAGCAAATGATACTGCTCTGTTGAGTTTTTTTTTTTAAAAACAGAGAGAGAGAGAAGAGAGAGAGAGAGAGAGAGAGAATTTTTTAATATTTATTTTTTACTTCTCGGCGGACACAACATCTTTGTTGGTATGTGGTGCTGAGGATCGAACCCGGGCCGCACGCATGCCAGGCAAGCGCGCCACCGCTTGAGCCACATCCCCAGCCCTCTGTTGAGTTTTAAAGTGCATACTCATGCAATGACAGCTACAGGTGACAATGATTGTAAGATAGCATACATCCCAATTTCAAAGGTGTGAAAATCTGGGTCTCTTAATCAGTGAAAGATGATAGAAAGACTTCTCACGGAACTGAAGGTGTAGTCAGTAGAGCACTTGCCTAGCATGCATGAGACCCTGAGTTCCAGCCCAAGTACAGAGAAAAAATAAGAAAAGAAAGAACTTCTCTTGGTAGTCGTGTTTCCCTCCGTATTTCTTTTCCAGGTGGAGGAAAAAACTTACCTTTTTTAAGTCCCTGCTTTTCTGGTCTTTGTTACTATGGGTAACCTAACTCAATCCCAAACTGAAATATGATTCTTAAAAATATGCTGCCATTATTACTTTCTTTTTTCACTGTACCTTACTCTTCTCTAATGTCACCCTTGGCTTAGCAAGTCAGGTGTAAATTTCTTTACCTTTCAGGTGGCCCAACATTTCACATTAGTGAAATGTCATTACTGTCATTTTAACCTTAAACTTAGCTTTCCTGAAGCAAATTTTCCATCAGTACCCCTTTGAAACTGAACTCAGAAAGCACACCCACACCCCTCCACATATACCTATTTGTATAAAAATTTGTTATTTTAAAACATGAAGCATAGTATCACCTCTGAGATTACTGATAATGCCTTTCTCTACTGAATACTTGATCAGATATATATTGCTTGGGCTTACGAAAAGAAATTGGAGTTGCTGGCAAGTGAAATAAAATTAAAGGAGAATTTAAAAATCAGAAATGTAGAACATATTTCCAGAGTAAAGAAGATTCAGGAGAAATTAATGGGTGCTTTGTGCTGCTTGTCACACATTTCTTAAGAAAAAAATACTTTTCCTTTTTCTGGAAAATGAAGTACAAGTTGTCAGTGACAACCATCTATTAAGAAATTTCCTTTTGTGATAGAGTGAGGATTTTTTTCCCTAGAGGTAAATTATTCAACACAGTTAATTTGAATCCGTGTTTGAGCCTGAGATGAAGTTATCAATTTTACCATTTTCCCTTAGTCTGTCCTGATATTATCATTGCTTGAGTTTCTGGTACCCATAGCAACAGCCACTGTTTCAGACATCATTCCCCCAAGCAACAAAATATGGCCAAGGACTGACAATCAACCACCTGTGTATCTCCGGGTGTACTTTTCAGGTCTGTAGGACCAAGTCACATATCACTTCAAAGTTTTGAAAAGTTCAGTTACCAACGAATTGAGAAGTTTGTTCAACCCTTTTGAGAGGCATATAGAAGAGGAGGAAAATGAGGAGAGGAGAGGATAAGCCTAAACATTGTAAAGTACAATGAGGCAAACTTAATTAGTCTAGAAGTTTCTTCTTTCCACCACTGCACTGCTATTCGAAAGGCGTTTTGTGACCTCAAACTTAACCAAAAGGAAGGAACTTAGAACATTTGCATTTTTCTTGCAAAAGAACAAAGATAAAAAGAATTATGCTGCCTCTGTACCAAGATTTTCCTGCCAGGGATTCTTTAAGAAAAGCTGCAAAATGTAGGATTACAAGTAGTGGCTTGTAATAGGCACTATGTATAATCACAATTCTCTTTGAGTTTTACAGTTGGGGAAATCCTGTTTTTCCAGGTAAAGTAAAAAGATATTTCTAAGTGGATTTCTCTGCATTATCTTGGAGAGTTCCTCCAAATCACAGGAAAAGGAAAGATGGGCTGAAGAGGGGGCCCTGAGAACAAGACTGAACCAGTCTGGTATCAGCTATAGATTCCAGAGAAGAGATCACAACAGGCTACAGTGTATAGACTACAAGACAGTATGCATGGAAAACTTACAGGCTTCTCTGTCCACACTTTCAGATTAACTGAATTTGCAGGGAGAGCATATGTGTTCTGTAGCTACACCCTTTACCTCTTGTGCCTGCAGTGAAGCTACTCCCAGTGAAAACATCTGAGTGATTGTGCACTCTCTGGGGATTTCCAGCCCTAGGGTCTTTCTAGGTATTCAGTGCCAACCCAGGTAATAGTGTTGCTGCCTGTGTGGAGGATAGAGTCTGAACAGAGGGATTCAGATGTACAAGTGTTGAGTGCCTTCCTGGGAGGTGCCTTGCTACCTGTTACATAGTTGTTAATTCTGAAGGCCTCTTTCACAGGAGAAGGATTTTGGCTGATGTTTAGAAGCCATCCCCACCCTTGGCTGGAAGGCACCTGTAATTAGGGGAAAGACTACAGTGATTAGTGCTGTCTTTGAGAGTGGGGGGATTTCCCTCCCTTCCGGTGCTGGTTACCTGGCTGGATTCCCAATCTACTTACACAATTATCCTTAGCCCATTGATATACCTGCAGGGTAACAGAAAGAAAGTAAAACATGCATCAGAAAATCTGTGTTCTTGTCCCAATTCCATAACTTCTCACTTGTGTGGACTCCCTTTTTCTCACTGACAAAGACATAGTTATACTTTCAGGGAAGGGGAGTAGGAGGAAGATAGGGCAAAAGGGAGGGTAGATATATCAAGGAATGATATAATGCATGTATGTAAATGTTGTAGTGAAACCTATTAATAACTACAATTAATGTGTGTTAATGATTATAATAAAGAGTCCAAAAAGTAAAAATTCAAACTACAAACTAGAAGAGGAACTTCAGAAAACATAAAAATTTCTAAAGGACTAAAATACATAATTAAGTAATTCCCACAAATCAATAAGAAAAGGGCAAACAATCTGGTAGAAAATTTGTCAAAAGATATAAGGAAGCAGAAATTATCCACTATATTAACTTATCAGTCCACTAATAGATTTTGATTCAGAGAGTTTGGAAGGTATTCTAGACCAGATGACTCATAGATTTGTCAATAGAAATGTGGGGTCTCTTGATACTAGGTATTGTTTACTTGTAATGTCAAAATAGCATTTCCAATGTAAATTCATTTTTCCTTTGAGTTTCAAATTCCACAAAATTGATAAAAGTATTTCAAAAAAAACCCAACCAATATAAATACTTGTAATAAAATGTTTAACCCTGGGGGGAAAGACATGGTCATAACACCTGCCTTTCCTATTTCATGAGGTTCTTATAAAAATAAAACACAATAATGTAAATAAAAGAATTTGAGCTTGCAAAGTGCCACTTTTATTTTAGTTTGTCAACCTCACCAGATATGGGGAAGTCCATAAGGCTGGTTTTCCATTATCATTGTAGTCCAAGGTGAGTTAGTCAAAGAGGTATTCTGCCATGTTATCTTCCAGGGCTCTCATCTTGTTTTCCAGAATGAAGAAATAGTAAACATTTGTATATTCTGGTAAACTATAAGTTTTCAGGTAAATTTGAAGATCCCTTTGTTTTAATACATGCTCAATCCCATTCCTTTTACTTCCCCAGAGGCACTTTGTGACCAGTGAATGGTCACAAAGACCCCATGAAATCCTTCCACACCATCCTAATCCTCCTGCACCCATTGTTTAGAAAGGAAGACTAATGTTGTGTTTTACAGGGGCCCGTAGAATACCTTTTCTCTCCACCTGTGGAGATATGAGCCTGTGGATGGGACATAGGTGGATAGACAGAATCCTGGATGCATGAGGATCTGCCCTCATTCTCAAAATGAGAGTTACACACACACACACACATACACACACACAAAAAAAAAACCAAAAAAAAAACAAAAAAAAACAAAAAAAAAACCTCTACTGGACATCTTCATTTCCTTAAGAACCAAAAAATAACTTTATTGGAAGTTAACAAACTGAAAGGCCCAAACTGAAGGAAACTTGCTGAAAGGGCAATATGTAGACCTGGCCTGGTGACCCACCGGGGAAGACTCCCTGGCATGGGCTGGGGTACAGTCCTGTTCAGTTGTCGTGGTGGCTGCGGCCCAGGGTGAGCCGGTCAAAGAAGAATTCAGCCAGGTGGTCTTCTGGGGCCTCCATCCTGCGCAGGTTGGTCAGGTAGTCGCCCAGCTCACGGATGATCAGGACCTGCTGATGCAGAAAGTGGCGCTGCAGGAAGTGACAGAGGTGGGGGTCCCCCTTTTCAGTGCCCAGGCGGTGCAGCTCCAGGAGGCTCTGGTTTATATTCTTCTCCAGGTGCAGGGCGCACTCCATGGCCTGGAGGCCGCTCTGCCAGTCGTCACGATCAGGCTTGGTGATGTTATGGAGGTGGACACGGCCTCCACGCTGGTTCTGTAGCTCCATCAACTTCTCAGCACGATCTCTCCACTCATGGGAACGACGCAGAAAGAAGCTGGAGAAGTGCTCCAGGGCCACTTCGTGGCGGTCACAGTAGAAGGCCATGGACAGGTAGACGTAGGAGGCATATAGCTGCAACTGGATCTGGCTGTTGATGGCGGCCTCGCAGTCGGGGTGGTAGTTGTGGCGCACCTGCGATGGCTCTGCCAGGGCCATGGAGGGCAAAGGCTGCTGAAAGACACAGACGGTGGTAAAAGGAGAAATCAGTGGTGGCTGTGGGGCCCGCTAGGGGCCCCCAGGGTGGGTGAGGGCGGGTTAACCGAGGAGGGTAGGCTGGTCAAGGTCTCTGTCAAACCCACCTCAGGCAGAATCTAAGCGGATAATGGCGGACAATGGAGGCCGGAAGCCAGTAATGGCGGCAGGAAGTGAGCAATAGAGGCAATGGGAATACCTTGAAGCAAGGTAGGTGGTCAGGAGAGGCACTGTAAAGTCGAGTTCCATCAGCAACCAGGGCAACTCTGTGCTGACCCTATGACCTATATAATATTTTTATAAGTTATTTATAAATACAAGGGTAAGTTTTTGTGTGAATCACCGGAATAGATTCAGGGATAGAGGGTGGACAGGGTGGGGGTAGAGAATGCTAGTGCAGAGTTCCATCAGCAACCCAGGCAACACTGCTCTGAGCATTCCCAGAGTATCTAAAAAGAAAAATAGCTCCAATGAGATATAATTTATACCCCTTGGAAAAATCACCCTTGGAAAGTAAACATTTCCATGACTTTTAGTACATTCCTGGTGCTTTTCCACCACCACCAAAATCTCATTTCAGAACTTTCTTATCACTCTAAGATAAAATCCCCTATCCATTAGGGGTCATTCTCCATCTTGCCTCTCCTGCAATTCTGGCAACCACTACTGTAATTTCTGTTTCTATAGATAACCTTATTATGGACATTTCATATAAATGGAATCATAATACCTGTGGCCTTTTGGGCATGACTTCTTTGACTTTGCATGATTTTTATTCTGCATCCCTCCTTTTTTTGTTTGTTTGTTTTGGTATCAGGGATTGCACTCAGGGGCATTCAACCACGAAGCCACATCCCCAGCCCTATTTTGTATTTTATTTAGAGACAGGGTCTCACTGAGTTGCTTAGAGCCTCATTGAGTTGCTAAGGCTGGCTTTGAACTCATGATCCCACTGCCTTAGCTGTTGGGATTACAGGTGTGCACCACTGCACCAGCTATTTTGCATTCCTTTTATTGGTGAATAATATTCCATTGTATGGATACATCACATTTTATCTATCCTTTCACCAGTTGATAGACATTTGGTTTTATTTCCATTTTCTGGCTATTATGACAAATGCTGCTATGAATATTTATGTACAAGTTTTTACGTGAACATGTTTTCAATTTTGTGGAACTGCTGTAGTATTTTCCAAAGTGGCTACATCATTTTACATGGCCACTAGCAATGTATGAATATTCTATCTGAAATTTTGAAAAGGACTGCATTGGATCTGTAGATAATTTGGGAGATTGTTGACATCTCAATACTATTAACTTTTTCAATGCATAAACATGGGATAACTTTCCATTTATTTAAGTCCTGGATCTTTTTAAATGTAGATTATTTAGACTGGGGTCAAAATTCTGAATTTCTAAACATCGCAGGTGATGTCAATGCACACTCTTGAGTAGCAATGCTCTAACAGAGAGGAGTAGGCCTCCATCCCTTATCAAGGTTTAGAGATAAGGAAGACACATACCTTGGTCTCTACAAACACAAATGCCTGTCCTAACCTTGAAGAGAGTGCTTATGTCAGTTATACTAGCTGTGGATGAAAGGTTTCAAAATCAGAAAAAAAAATGTTTATTGCATGTCCTTTTTAGAGTAGTCTCCTGGATTATCTCCACTTCTCACTCTCTGAGCTATTTTATAACTCTAAATTATAGAAAACTAATAATAATGCAAATGAATCTTGTCCGCAGGCATGTAATTAATTCTTGACTCATTTTGCATCTATTTGTATACTTGTTTCAGCATTTCTCTTGCCTATATATGCATAGTTCTTAAACCATTTGTAACATCTTACTGGTTTCCTCATTAATACATCTTTCACATGTATATATTTTATATTTATATAAGAGTCATGGTTTTACTTCCTGCTTTTAATTATCTTTTAACACTCCTCATTCCCATCCCTACTCCACCAGGAATACAGAGCCCATGGGAGGTGGTTAGTGAATTAAGTACTTTTATGAGTTGCTCATTAGAGATATGATTCCATATTACCATTTGGGAAGTAGAGGCACAGAATTCTTGACTGCAATATAGGCTGTGAAATCATGGCATTTCTGGGGAGGAGAAGGTAGGGATACTTTGGGGATGCAGGGAATTAGTGAGAACCAGCAGAGGACAGAGATATTTAGAGAGCAGGCTATAGGATTAAATTAAGTAATCATAACAAATAGATACATAGTCAGTGTTGGGTAGAGGCTGGTCTGGTACACATTGGAGAGGGCAGAGAAGTAGGGGTAACAAGTAAAGACCTTCAGATAACTGGAATCCACTGACAATCAGCAGAGTGATGAGAGCTTCCAGGCAGAGAAAGTAGTTAGCAGAGTTTAGAAGAGTAAAGGGTTGACAAACTCACATAGGAATTTGACAGGCTACGATGCATGATCTAGGAAGGAGGTAGAAACCTGAGCTTTCAGAGCCAGCTTTCAGAGCCATCAGCACTTTTATGCACCCCAAATGATACCCCTTAAAGGGGTATCCATCCATACTGAGGGTGTAGAGTATCCAGATCTGTGCCATGGGTTCTATCTTCCAGAGAACATTGCTTCTAGCTGCTGATCAGATGTAGGGAAGCTTAATACATCCTGGTTGGCTCCACTATAAGTCAGCTTTTTAGTGCAAATGTCATAGGAAAGTTATTTGGCAGTTCATATTTGGTTGGACATTAATAAGATACATTCAACACCCACACCCATTATATTCTGAAGAAGAAAATTTTCTTCCAGTCTCCAATTCCCACTGTTCTGTTCTGGGGAGAAAAGGGGAATCATTATTTTAAAGAACAAAGGAAAGGTCTTTGAACTTAAATATGACCATGGTATGTCATTGATTTATGATGGTTGATACTAGTTCACTTAAATATATAGTATCTCTGGGGTTACAATCTTTCATCTTCATTCAATGTGCTAGATATTCTCCATTTGATTTTCTAGGACTACTCTCTGTCTTCCAAGTTACTCAGAGGTTTGAGAGGGGAAGGCCAACCTGTATGGCCTTCGATCCATGTGCCCTGTATACTCTAGTTTCTGATTGGGGCCAGTTAATGGGAGGCACTGGCAGGAGATGAGAGGGTAGGAGTACAATGAAACTGGGGTATTTATTCTCTTGGCTCCCTCTCTTCAGGGCAGATAACTAAGAGGCACCTCTATTTCCCTTTCATAAGACTTTGGTCTTTGATTGAAGTAGGACCATTATTAGGACAGGCCATTTACAAACACTGCTCACTTCAAGGGAATTTACGTCAAAGAAATGATGTTCATTGGCTCAAGTTTAATATATGGCCTTGAGAAATTCATGGAGACCAGCATGCAGCTGTACATTCCTTCAGGCCAGAGAATGAATGGAACTGATAGAGAAAATAAACTACCTGATTTAAGGTAGTCTCTGGCAACAAAATAATGACACCCAAGATCTTGTTTTCTAGTTCATGTCTTTCTCTGGCCTCTGGCTCCCTTTTGTTTCCTTGGTTGACTAGCCCTTTGATTACCTTTCATTTAATTAGTGGATCTATTAGAATGAGGGTCAGGGAAGAGGAAGTAAGGAGAGTCATTTTCCACTTGTTAGTAACCATGTTATAAAGTCTGGTTGGGGAAGATGTTGACTTAATAAAGTTTGAGGAATATCTGTTTATTTAAAGTCAACATTTGTGCTTCTTTGTACACCTTCTATTGCTCAGGATTGCACCTATTACAATGTTTTACACAGCAATATGTAAGCCCAACCAATACACAAAGGGGATATAGATGTTACTTAATTAGACATCTCTTAATCATTTGCTCCTAGGAAGGAAAGTATAACTCTCAACTGCAGATAGTGAAAAATATATTGTAGAGTTTTCTTTAGTTATTATCTTTTCTAAACAGAGGATGAGTCATTTGTGTTACCTGATATTCAATTCCTTTATAGAACACTAGGCATAATAGTCAGGCTAGCATAAGTGATGCTGCACTAACAAATCCTAAAACCCCAATAGTTGAGGAAAATATTTATTTCTTCCTCACAACAGTCTGAAGCAACTAAAGTAAATCTCTTTCATGGATCTCTACCAATGGTTAACTTACAAATCCAGGCTGAATTCCATTCTTCAGTTCTACCAATTCAGAATCTGTCACTTCCAACTACACAGAAAGGAAAGAGGAAGCATGAAGACTTCTCACTTGCTCTTCACTGTCTTGGACCAGAAATCTTATGCATTTCAGCCCAAGCCAACTTTGAGAGAGGCTGGTAAATGTAGGGGAAAACATGATATTATAGTTTCTACCATGCATGTTTTATCCATTTCTCCTAGTCATTTTAATTAATTAATTAGTTTGTTTATTTGTTTATTTTGGTGCTGTGGATTGAATCCAGGGCTGGTTTACCATAGAACAACATCCCCAGCCATTTTTATTTTATTTTTTATTTAAGGTCTTGCTAAGTTTCCCAGGCTGACCTTGAACTTGTTATTATCCTGCCTCTGCCTCCAGAGTAGCTGGGATTACAGGTATGTGCCACCATGCCCAGCTAGTCATTATTTTAAAATTATCGAGAACTCACATTTTTTACCACTCTCATATTTTTATTTATCACAGCATACATATAGTAAGGCTTCTTTGGGAAAGTCATAATTGTGTGTGTGTGTGTGTAAGCATACAAAGTAATACAACTTGTGTGGTCTCATCTCCACATAATTCCTTCTGGAATTCCACTGTGTTCATATTTTAATCCCATCCCAGATTAAAGCTGGCCATTGTGACTCAGATCCAACTTCATCTTCTACCTAAAACCGCTTTCTGTGAAAACAACCTCCTCTGAAAATATATAGTGTTAGTGCCACATAATTAGCATGACCAGTCAATCATAGTCTGTCCATCTTGTCTGTAATTGCCCTAAACTGTTTATTAATCATCTCCTTATCTAGTTTGTCCTTTTAGTGCAATATTATCCCTGACTCATAAGCTCCTGGAGTATAAACTCCCTTTCTTCAACTCCGTAACACCCAACCAAATGGAGAAGCACAGAATAAGTGCTCAAATCTATGGGTTGATTTGTTCTGATTTAATTGGTTTTATAGTCATCAAAC